AGTGACATTCTTGATAATCTGGATGATGAATATATTTTACAGACTTTTCAAAATATGAGAACCCGCCGTGGGTCACTATAAAAAATTAACAGCATTTTAATTTTTTTAAATTGACAACCCCTTACCCAAAATCCTAGCTACGCCAATGGTAAGCGGTGCATTTAACCCGTAACTGGTAAGGGTCTGCTTGATTTCTCTCAAATAATTATGCTTTTTATATCTGGATTCCTTTTGCTGTATTAGGTCGTTTATTATCTATGTAGATGTGGGTCATCTCTACTATTTTTATTCATAAGGCATCTTAAAAGATGAAACAACAAGACCTCAATCTTTTATTTATTTATTATGGGAACCTGAATACCAAACGTCAACTTGGAAACTTGCATTCTAAGTGAATTTTGTGATGGTGGTTTAGGTCAAATATATGAGAATCAGGCTGGAGAGGAATGGAAGGTATACAATGAAATCAGCCTACGAAGAATGGAGGAAGAAACAAAACGAGCAAGAGGAAGAGATCTATGTCCCTGTAACTGGGAAAGATTCTGGAAAATTCTTATTCCTCCCAAGGTGAAGGTTTTTGGATGGAGATGGGTGAATAATTTTCTCCCAACGAGAATAAATATCCTAGATTGAACTCAACAAGGTTGTGATGAATGTTCGTTCTGTGGACTCATTGAGATGCAAGTAAGGATGGCAATGGGTCGGGTTGGGGCGGATTTTGTCAAACCCAAACCCAAACCCATGGGTTTATCCGCCAAAAAAACCCGGGGTAAAACCCGCTGGGTTTGAAAAACTCAAACCCAACCCGCTGGGTATCCGCGGGTTCATGGGTACCCGTGGGTTTTTTGGTAAAAAATTTACAATAACAAGTTTCTTTCTAAATAAAAGTTTAACATCAACTTTCTCATACAAATTATTCATACAAAAAACACCAATCTAGAGCATACAAGCAAACTAGGGATGGCAAAAATATCCGTAACCGTGGATATCCACCCGAATCCAGCCTAATCGGATAGGGTAAAACCCGAACCCCAAAGACATTTATTGGGTACGGGTAAAACCCGAACCCGAATATTGTGGGTAATGGGTGGACATGGATTTCTCACTATCCAACCTGAACCCGCCCGATTATACAAATGCATATGTATTTTCTCTAGATATAATCATTATTTTTCTCTAACATATTTTATATTTAGCATATAAGTATAATATTTTCATGAAATTGTGTTGTTTTAATTAATTTTCTTCATTCTAGTGAATTATTGTCGTACTTTTCCTCTTACGTAATGTGAGAATTCGTGTGAATGTTAACATATTGGTTGAAGTTATGAAGAGAAATGATTACCCATGGATAACCGTGGATAACCGATCCCCGAACTGGTATGGGCATGATTTTGATTTTCTACCCGTTTCACATGCGGGTATGGGTATGGGTAAAATCCGAACTACTTTGGGTAGGGTAACGAATATGCACTATCCGTCCCCGACCCGACCCATTGCCATCCCTAAAGCAAACCGCAAATGATCAATACAAATTGTTCAAAATTAAAGATAAACATCTATAAACAATAAGATTAATTGAAAGTTTCTTCCTCGTCAACTAAGTTTTTTCACTCTCCACTTCATAATATCAACTTCATTCTAAACAATTAGAAAGAACAAATTATACATGTCTCCATAAACATAAAGAATATTAGTTGTTTAAGGAATATATATTATTTAGAATATTAAATATATCGGGAAAGTAATTATATGTGTGTGGGCGGGTACCCATGGGGCGGGTTTACCTAAACCCAAACCCAACTCGACCCGGTGAATAGTGTAGCGGGTTTAAACCCAAACCCGACCCAAAACCCGTCAACACGAGTTTTACCCGCGTTGACCGGGTTGGGTCGGGTGGGTACCCATGGGTTCGGGTTTTGTTGCCATCCCTAGATGCAAGAGCATATATTCAGGGACTGTGCTTCGGTGAGAAGGGTCTGGCAACCTAGGAGTCTAAGTTCGCTGTTCTCAAAAGGTGAAGAGCTTACCTGTGAATCGTAGATGTGTCAGCTTCAGGAATCTGAACCCGATGATAGGATTGGTGAGTTTCTGGTAGCCTTGTGGTTTATCTGGGAAGAGCGAAACAACCAACAGTGGAATAAGAAGAAGAAAGAAGAATTTGAAATCATGGGAGCAGCAGCCAAATGGTTGGAAGAATACCTAGAGCACAACGAGAAGACCGAGACAGAAACCCAGGTGCGGCCGATGTGGTGGGAACCCCCGGCGACGGCGCCTTACAAGATCAATGTTGATGCAACTGCTGAAGGATCAAGGAACTGGCAGGGGAGTGGTAATTAGGGACATGCAGGGTGGATTTTGTAGTGCGGTGGTAAAACGAACGAGAACTAAATGGGAACCGGCGATGGCAGAGACTCTTGCGATTGAATTTGTTTGGAGCTGATGGAAAGATGGAGAATTAGGGACTGTGTGCGGGAATCGGACTGTTTTTTCACCATTTCTCAACTGAAGCGAAAGGAAATGGAGAGGACAGAGGTGGGAGATCGTTGCAGAGAGATCCTGGAGGTGGCAAGCCGTAATGAAAGAGTCGATTGGGTCTATGCGGGAAGAGAAAGAAACAAGGCAGCCCACCAGACAACCCCCTTTGTTTGTGGATGGGAAGCAGAAGAAGTTTGGGCCCAAAGGCCTCCTATTTTTCTTGAACCTCAATTGAGGATTGATATGTCAAATTGTCATATGACTACTTAATAAAATTCCAGATGATTTCAATAAAAAAAAATAAAATGTGAGAATAATCTCATAGAGGCCCATGACTGTCGGATCGTATATTGAATGCTTTACGGATGTTGGATGGATACGGGGAAAGGCAGAGCAAGATTTTGGATATCTGGAGACTGAAATATTTTTTCCGTATTGTTGCAATAAAAAATAATAAGAAAACAATAATTATATCATAATGTCATAAAAGAAAAATGCTTCATACAAAAATTTATTTAATATATTTAGAAGCACCAAACATAGAATCTAAACTAAAACTTTTTTGCTACGATATTTTTGAGCTAAATAAATAATTACCAACATGAAACTAATCATCCTTTTAAATTTGAACTAGGTTATTTACTATTGTTACAACTTAAAATGAGTGTGATTACTAGTATATAAATAAATTAGATTAGTCATTATATAGTCAGAATTATCTTTAAAATATTAATTTATAACTTAAAAAATCTGATTTAACTAATTTGAAGTTAGAGGATCTAAGAAGATAACGTATTAAAGATGGATGACTAGATTAAATTTCAAATAAAAATAGAGAATTGAGAAGATAAAGTATGATAGTTAAGTTAAGTTAAGTGATAGTTTTGAGCCAAATATGAAGGTGAGCTCCCTTATTGACAGAGAAAGCGGTTGGTGGGATCTACCTAAGCTCCAGTCTCTATTCCCTAGTGAGGTTCAATCAGATATTATGAGGATCCTCCTAAGAAATCCTCCTACTGAGGATTCAGTTCTTTGGTCGAGGATGGATAATGGAATCTATACTATTAAATCAGCATACAAGGAGCTTAGACAGAAGAAGTTTCCTTGGTTGGAAAGTAATAATTTGGACGCTCAAATAATGAAAACCTACTGGAAGAAGATTTGGAACCTCCCAGTTCAACCAAAAGTTAAAATTTTCCTTTGGAAGATCAGCAGAGACATATTACCTTTTGGAGCTAACATTGAGAAGCGTATTGAAGATGCCCCATCAGACTGCCCCTTCTGTGGACTTCCCGAAACCCAGCTCCATTGTCTGAGGGACTGTGAGTGGACTCGGCGGCTTTGGCAAACTCGTGATGAGACTGGTATCTTTAACCAAGGGGAAGGGCTTTCGGGGAGTGAAAAGAGATCGGGGACTTAGCTGAGGTCAACGCGACGCTATCTGGCAGAAGAGTCGAGTGGGCTTTAGTGCCAAGAGTTTCTAATGCTGTAGCCCATTTTTTGGCCCACTATGCTCCTCATTGGAACCAGCTTTGTATTTGGACTGAAAGTCCACCCAGCTCCATTAGAAGCCTGTTAGCGGCTGACAAAGCCCATGACTTTGGAAGTTAATTCTTAATATAATCAGGGCTTTCTATAAAAAAAAATTGAAGCAAGAACTAATGGAAAACAGAAAATTGGAGCAAGAATTAATTGAAAACAGAAAAGTGAAACACTTAAAATTGCTGAATTGTGTCGAACACCATCCCTCCAACTTCTGTTACCAATCCGCTAGATTACAACAAATCGTACTGATGGAATATTGCTCGCTTTTTTACTTTATACATTAAGTAATTATCGATGCATTTATATTTGATCTTCATAGACTTAGACTCTGTCATAGTGGGACATCACATATCCAAAGATGCCTCAGGTTAGTTTTATGGTGTTTGCTTGGCCTTACGAAAAGTCAACTCCTTGACAATTTATACGACCTTTCCTTCTTTTTTATATAACGGCAATTTATATGGCCTTTATTTATTACATTTTCACTACTTTCTTCTAATGGAGGAATCTTATCATTTCTAATCTTGTATTCTGTAATAAAGACTGCGCGAGTCTGTGTATGCCCGATTCTGCCGCATAAATGATGGATGCTTAAAGAATTGAACCGATTTAACTTCAAAATATGTTTGGTTTGATCTTATCTTGTTTGGTCAAGATTTGGTCATTGTTTCAAAGGGTTTGATGGAAGAAAAACCAAACAAGTCTTGAACTTGAGAATCGTATCCAAATTTATAAATCTGACCATGTTCTATTTCCATCTAAATAATAAATATAGACACAATTTGATTCAATCTAATGTTGTTAAATTGTCATCACTACCTCTCATAAAAAATTTTGTCATCACTACCTGAAGTTGCTGATGTTTGGTGCGCATAAACCCGAGTTGGTTGTAATGGCCGACTCAGCCTTTTTCTTACAGGATTCTAGTAAAAAAGTACGAGTAATTTGGAACCAAGAAACAACATTGAAAATTCAAAATCATCTATTAAGTTGCTCTTGGGCAATTGGGTTTACAATTTTGCTCATCATTCAGGCACAAAAGTTTGCCACTTTTACCAAGAAGACACCCACAAAATCCCAAAATGTACATCTAAACCCAAAAATTGTCCACCAGCCAATCCCCCAAAATCCCAGTTGCTCACTGATTACAGAACTTCAGGGACTACATAACGAGCATCCGTTGAAGACCATATTAGAATTTCTTAACATCATTTCCATCAGCTGCTATGTCTCCTGCTGCAGAAGAAACAAGGAAGATTGAGCACATAATACCTAATAAACAAACACCACAAGACATGAGGAAAGGGAAAATGAAACAAAAAGAGTTAAGTCTTTCGGAAAGTCGAACTTACCATCGAGTATATACCATGGCCGAGAGACATTGAAGACTTGATGCCCTTAAGCTGCTAGGACTACCTTCTTCCCCGTGCTTAAGTGCAAGTTTACAAACCTTGGGAGCATAATTTTCAATTTCATGTGCATAAGTTCCACCCACCTGTTACGCATTAGCCATCAAATTATCCACCTGACCATATCATATACAACAATTTGTTCCATCCAACTCCCAGAGGCAGTATAAAGTCAAAACAGAGAACACTACCTGACTGTAGAAAAACTTGGTTAAGGTCTGGCATCCAGGAATCAGCAAAGCAGATTGATTAGGCCCCACTAGCAGCTTATTGACCTTATTCAACAAATTGACAGCAAAATATGTCCTGGAAGATGCAGCGACCAGCGTTAAAGCAAATATACTGAATTCCATCAGCAGCAAAACAAGTTAATTTAGAAATGAAAAATAAAAAGGAACAAAAAACATGCTTTACTTACATCTGCTCCTTACAAATGCATAGCAACTTATTGTAAGCCTCCATAATAACACTGATGAACTTTGCATGGTCACTCCACAGTTTTTTGCAGCATCTTTCTTCGAGATACTTGGCAATCTATTAAAACATGATGAGAACAGATGAGACACAGGTAGGGTTATGCCTTAAAACATCTTTCAGTGTGAACCGAAATGCAACCTTGGGGATTTGAATTGGATTTTTGGCAGCATATTCACACAACTTCGCAGTTTTTCTCTCATTTGGGGGTGCATCCTGTCGAAGAAAGAGATGACAACATAAGTAAGCAATCCGAAAGATTTTAGTTTGATTTTGGTCACCCAACCTGATACATATGACATTTACACAGTACTTCGTGTTTCTCTTTCACCCAAATGCATCATGAAGACGAATCACACACAAAACATGCAGATTATTTAGAGTCACAGACCATGTTAAGGAAACTAAACTAATAAAGAAATTATGTTATTACACTCATCATTCAAAATAACAGAATAAGAAAGGAAGTCTTCCAGATAATCACTCCAATATTTGTGCATGGCTCATGTTAAGTATTTGTGCAGAAGCTTCGTGCATAGACAATATATGAACTCATTGTTCAAACTCATTAAAGTCTAGGCAGAAGTCAATCCCTCAGCTTCTTCCAAATACTAACTAGGCAAGATAATAACTATTAGTACCGGCTTAAGAGAGCAAAAAGGGCAGTAAAGAAAGAGGAACAAATTGTTGAAAAACACTCACCGGAGACTTTGGGAAGATATCAGCAAGGAGTTTCTTGTATCGTTTCACAGGTTGTCGAAATGTGGACCTCAAAGCAGGGCAGCACACGCACATCGTCCCACAAGAGGGGATTATCTTCCATTTCCTCATGGTCTGCTCATTGTCAAAGGCAAGGAAGAAGAAAATGATTTCAAACGAGGCCAAGTTTCTTACATTTTCAAGATCCAAAAAAAAAACTCCAGAGGGACTAAAACAACCACCATCACTAAGCCTAGCGAATCCAGTCATCACCCAAAAGAAAATCAGAGCTAGAAATTGAGCACTGGAAGATCAGGGACGCCATTACAAAGAATGTAGCTTGAAAAAACAAGTCATGAAGCTGGAGCAACAATAACACAGAAAGCACAATTACCCAAAACCCTCGATGCAACACCAAAAACAGCCTTGAAGGAGAAAATATGCCCTCAATGCACAGGAGAGACCAACAGCCAATAGAAGAAAAATTGATCTCCTACTGAAAACACCCCCCAAAAGCCCTTCCAGCAGCTCATGAAGGCAACAACTTCACGGCTCAAACTCACAAACTAAGTAGAGGAAAAGCCGATCAAACATCAGGGAGGGCAGGAAATAATGAAGATGCTAGTATACCTATGGGCCATATATTGACTCCAGAAGAAGACAAAGCGGAGATCAGGGATAGGAAATGGCGAGAAGCGTTGGAAGAGGGCACAGCTCAAGACAACAGTGAGAAATCACTAAATTCATCCAAAACAGAAAAACACACTCCAAGAACCAAAACAAGATTAGCAACTTTTGGGTTTTGGAATGGGTTTTCAACAGGAAACGAGATGATAACAAGTTCACAACAGAAGATTGAACACAAAAGAGTACAGAAATCAAAACCAACAAAGGGCATATGGGCAGGAAAAGACCCAAAAAGAATTGGGTGGCGGGAGACGGGGACCTGTTCGGCAGTAGAAGTAGAGGCCTGAAGTTCAGAGTTCTCCCATTCAAAAGCTTGAATGGAGCTAAAACGGGAAAATCAAGCTTGGAGATTGGAATTGGGCTTTTAGCCGCACAAAACAGAAGATGCGATGATCGTAACATAAGAAAAGGAACCCTTGGAAGAGAGGCGCGATTGCAGAGAGAAACCCTAGATCTATCTTGCGGGGGAAAAAAACAAAGGAGACGTGCGACTTACCTTAAAGGATCGTTGCTGCCGAGGGAGAAAAGACGCGCCACCGTCAATTTTTACGGCGGCGGCGGCGCCGCCGCTGGCGGCGCTCGCTGACATTGTGGCGCGGCTGTTGATGCGGCTCTTCCTCGTGTTGTTGCTTGAACTCGGCTTTCTTGAAGCCCTTTCCACAGCGATCACAGGCAAATGGGTAGTCATGTCTGTGTTTCGCACAGTAATGATCGTACAGTGCCCAAAACCCCTCAAACTCCTTCTCGCAGAGATTACAGGGGTAATCTTCCACCACCTCCGCCATGCCATCAACAGGGCTGTTCGAAGATTGCTGACCAGTGTGAGACAATGGAGGAGAGAGAGAGAGAGTGATAAAATTCTTGCAGGTTGTTGGGCATTCGGACTGAAAGCGTAGGGGGAGGGAGAGGCTGAATCTGAAATCGGATAGGAACAATAATAGGAAGTATTTCCCGCCAAATCAAACAAACTGGGGAGGAGTAAATTATTGGGTGTTCCCGTTCGTACATATACCCAGCAGCACTTTTTCCTTCGAAAATCTGGATTTTTTATTCTTAACTATTCTAGTTATAAAAAAATCCTAAATACAAATTTTTTTTATAAAATTCCCAATGATATAAATTAATTCCATAGGTTTTGAAGATACTTTTACGCTTGGTATATAAAAGAGTTCATTTTCAATGCTAAATTTTAAATTCGACGAAAATGGAACTAGTTATAGCAATTTTGAAGAATTGATATAGATTTTCCAAATGAATTCCACAAGTGATCTATAAAGTATAATAGAATAATATAATTATCTTTACTTATTAACTAAATAACATCTACACATTATTAGTAGCTACTTCCTCGTTCGTTCTGCTAATTGCTCTACCAACATGCAAATCACCCAGTTTGTCGTGTTTTTTTTAACATCCATGACTTTGCTGCAAGGAAACTTCAAACTGAAAAAGAACTCCGAGTAAAATATGTAACTAAACAGAAACCTTGTTGTAGAGTATATGTAGATGTAACGCACTAAACCCTTGTCATACAGCACCAATAGCCACAAATGAACAAAGCCTGCATAATAGAAAAATTATGAATTGGAAAGGATTGAAAAATTAATTAATTTTCTTAGAAGATGGATCTTTAAATTGTTTACTAGTTTAATTTCGAACTTAATTTTTGGCTTTGTTCTATTGGTTGGATTATAACTTTCCCACTTGCGTTTTTGGAAGATGGATTTCCAATGAATATTGTTTCTGTCGAAAATTAATAAGGGTGTAGTTGAATACTTTTAACTTAATTCAATTTTAAACGTATACCGAACATGGTTCGGAAATTCAACTCATATTATTTATAAAAATTTGAATATTACATATACCAAACAAAAAAAATTCATTTGACAATGAATTCTACATAGTGATTAATTTTAAAATGAAATAAATTCTTGATTCATTTAGTACCAAACGATCTCTTAAGTACACATGTTTTCACCAAATGGCTTGCGATATCGCTTCTAAGTAAAGCGATCAAAGTTTTAATCGCTTACAAAGAAAACGAATTTACATTTAATCATGTGTGAGCAGAGCGATCATACAAATCGCTAAGACACAAGCGATCAGTAATAAATCACTCTTGTCAGCAACGATTTTATTTCACCACAAGGTTTGGGTTAGTGCACCTGTTTTCCCTTGATCTCTTTAGTTACAAGCAATCATACTAAATCGCGTTACTCAACCATGAACAATATTCGGCAAGAGAATAGGGTTAGGTGTAGCGGCCTAGGCATGATTGCTTTAGTCAAAAGCGATCTTGTGTTGATCGGTTTTCCCTAAAGCGATCAAAGTCCAATATGATTCCAAAATAAAACACGACCCTCCTATCCTATTAGGGCTGGCTATTTAGTCCGGATTTTTTGGTTTTACCCGAAACCGGACCGTATAACCCGGACCGGGACCGAATAGTAAAAACAATCCAATCCAATCTTTGGGCTTAGATTTGAGGTAAAAAAAACCGTTCAGGACCGGATCGAAAACTGGATAAAGACCGGATAAGAGAGCTAAACACCCAAAACTTAAGGGTAATTAGCATAAACGGTCACAAACCTTTGCACTTAGTACAAAACTTAACCAACTCCTCACACTTTCAGTCCTTAGGCCACTCAAATCCCCACAAGCTCAATATAAATCAAGAGCGAATTGGGACCGGACCGGGTCAAGACCAGACCGGATCAAGACCAGACTGTATCCAATCCAATCTTTGGTCCTTATATTTTCGAAAAGACCGGACTGGGACAGGATCAATTTGGGCCAATTTAACCGGACCGGACCGTATAGCCACCCCTATATCCTATTTCACTCTCATTTCCCCTCTTCTCCACTTTCGTATAAGAAACTTCCCTCTTCTCCACCACACTTGCAGAAAACCTCACAGCCACACCAGAACTTCATTCCCTCATTCTGACTATAAGGTATGTCTGAATTTGTTTAGTATGGTCATGGTGTTGCAGGAGGATACGAATGAAGTGGTTATTCAAGCAACTACGAAAGAGATAGTTATGCAGGCGACGATGTGGGAGATGAGGTACCACAGGAAGATGCTACGCATCCTGTTAATTTTGTTGAGCCTGCCCCATTTATTGCATCATATGGCGTTCAATGGACGACTTGAGGTCCAGAATGGACTAATATTGAAAATACCATTCGGGATGATGATGTTGGCGGTGATGGTCGTGAGGATCCCACTGATGAGATGCCGAATTATCCATTCGAAAGTGACGAGGACAGTGAAGAAGATTTGGGATATGTGAGTGAGGAAGAGGACACAAATGATGAGGTGGGGGTCCAGGAGCCACCTACTCCATACTACACAAATATCTCTACTCATCTCTTATATGCTCATAACAAAGATCACCACTTTCTCCCTATAATAGTGTGGAATCCGACGGCTGAATTGGAGGTGGGAATGACATTTCCAACCAAGGATGTTGTTGGTGATTCTTGTAGAGAAGAAGCCATGCAGCGGAATTTTGAGTGGAAAGTCAAATATTCTGACCAAAAAAAAAAAAAAAAACTCCATGTCATATGCAAGAATGCAAGAGACAGATGTCAGTGGGAGCTTCGAGCTGCATGGATGAAGAAAAGGGTGCTTGGGTTCGCACAGTGCAGAACAACCACAACTGCTCCTTATCCATACTTTCCCAGGACCGCCACCAACTGAATGCAAAGAAATTGAGTGCCACTATTAAGAACTTGATTGAGGCACAACCAAACATCACCATAAAAGCTATCATGGCCTCGGTGAAAGTTCATCATTCCTACACAATCAGGTACAAGAAGGGATGACATGAAAAGCAAAAGGCCATGGATGACATGTATGGCGATTGGAAATCATACGCTCTCCTTCCTAGATTGATGGTTGCGATGGCGAAGTCTATTCCCGAAACTGTTTTTGTGTCGTGGTAAAACAATATAAAAATTGAGAACCAAGTTCGGATCTAAAAAGAACTAGTGTTTTACCGCTTATTTTGGTTATACAAGACATGCATTGATGGGTTCGCTTTCTGCCTTCCAGTGATCCAAGTAGATGACACTTGTACCTTGCCACAAGAATTCTTGGGAATATGTAGATTTTTCCATCGACATTTGCTCTAGTCAAAGGGGAGAACAATTTTAGTTGGGCTTGGTTTTTCAAGAAGCTACATGACCACGCCACACAACAATAGGGCATCATGATCATCTCCGACCGACTCACCAAAATTAGACACGCCGTGTATGGTTTTTCCCGATGAATGGGGGTGGAAGTGGAAGAGTGTGAGTTTTCACATAGAGATGGAAGTAACACTTGCTCGACTCCGACTATTCTTGAAAGTGAAACCGAAGAACTATAGTGCATACCATTGTGATTGTTTACCAAGTTGTATTGGTTTGAGTAGGTTTGCTTGGGGACAAGCAAACACATAAGTGTGAGAGAGTTGATAACACCCAAAATGGTGTTATACAGCCTCTATATTTAGGGTTTTTCAAGTTATTTCATGGTCTCATTGGTTGATAATCCATCAAATGCATCCCTAATCTGTTCCTCGGAGTAAATTATGTCATTTTTTGGTGTACTAGATGATACTTGCATTTTGGGCACAAAAAGAGGTCACAAGTGTAGGAAATGGAGAAAAATCAGGAGATCACGACCAGACCAAGGAGATCTTGACCGAGAAGAGAAGGCGCAAAGTCGAGCTCAAAGATCACGCCGGCGATCTAGGGAGCCTCAGCTGTAAAGTTGAGGAAGCAGCCACCAAGGAAGGACCAGTGAGTTTCGACAATCAACTCGCAGCTCCTGTTGTCCAAAACTGCGAGAAAGATCGTGGTCATGACCTATGGATTGCGACCATTAAGTCAGGCCTCGAACTTCCAAACCAACAAGGAGTAAAGGCGCTGCCTCCGAGATCGCGACCTCTCCCCCAGTGTTCACGCCCACAAACTTCCTCCCTGCAACACTGAACTTGCCTGTCCGCCTAAAGTCTATAAATATGGGACTTGTTCCCTTTTACACGGGAGCTGAAAATACTTGGTAAATTTTTGGTTTACAGAGAGGTTAGAGAGAAAAGCCGAAGGAAGGAGAAGAAGGAGGAGCTAAGAAATAAGGGATCTCTCCCCATCTCTATTTTTCTTCCCAATTCTTCCATGTATCTTCTTCCCCCCCTTTATGGGATAGTTACCTAAGGTACTAGGGTTTTATTCTCCAAACCCTAGATTTAGGTTTTATGATGTAGAAGGAATTTTGTTAGGGTTTATGAATGAAATGAGTTTACCTAGTGATTATATGCATTTATCTATGTTAATTATGATAAGCTTGTCTTTCCATATGCTTTTCATGATTGCCTACCAAGGGTTTGCATGAGATGGTTGTGAAATTGATTGGTTTAGCATGATAGGCTTGATGAATGATCTAGAACCCGATTGGTGGATGAGGTGACCATCCCCTGCTAATTGGGATGCCCTCCTAGGTAATGCTAGGGCGATGCGTGTGTGAGCATCGACATGTCGAACTAGTGTGCATATAGGTGCAACCTATTAGAAGGGTCTAGACTGCATCCTAGTATTATGAACCTGATCGAGGTGACATTGAATCAACGGATCATATTAGGAAGGCGACTAATACCATGACCATTGAGCTAGTCTCCACATTAGTGAGTCTCGCACATCGTTTCCACAAACTCACATTATTAACCTTTGCATAATAGACCTATTATCTAGGACGATGGTGATGCCCCGAGTACCGGCTTTTATCTCTGCTTTCTCAAGCGACTAATTTCATTTGTCCTCCAAACAAACCTAAACTCGATCGAATAGATAACGATCGAGCGAGAAGTATCCCGGGCTATCGAGACCCGTGGAATACGACCTTGGTCGATCACTATACTGACAATGTCGCCTGTAGTTATACTTGACTCAAGATGTGATAGTTCCAACCGAGCAATAAATTTAATAACCCACACGGGGTGTGAC